GGCCGTACCAGTGCGGTGGGTGCCCTGTAGCGCTGGTGGGTGTCAGTGGGGTGTCCTTGCCCCAAAGGGCTCTGCAGGCGCTGGATCCCTTGTTGGTTTATGCGGGGAGACCCCAGTAGCACTCTCAGAAAGCCCCGAAGCCATGTTTTCTCACAACACTGCTGTTTGTTGGGGAGATAAAACTCAGCATCTTGCTGCTGCTTTGCTGCTACCTGCGTCGATTTGGGAGGTGCAGAGCTTGTCAATTTTGTTTTGTGGCTGCAGACGGGCTCTGCAGGCGCTGGATCCCTTGTTGGTTTATGCGGGGAGACCCCAGTAGCACTCTCAGAAAGCCCCGAAGCCATGTTTTCTCACAACACTGCTGTTTGTTGGGGAGATAAAACTCAGCATCTTGCTGCTGCTTTGCTGCTACCTGCGTCGATTTGGGAGGTGCAGAGCTTGTCAATTTTGTTTTGTGGCTGCAGACAGGGGCTTCGATCTCACGTTCCGGACAGCAGATGATGCCGGCCTCTCCCTGATAAAATACGGAGAATTCCTGTATGACAACTTGATCATCTTCTCGCCGTCGATAGAAGGTGAATACAGGAGGGGAACATTCAGGTGCTCTTGGAGCTTGGCGCCGTTTTTGCGAGGGGATTTCTAACTGTTTTGTGAATTTTAATTAAATCTCGCACTTCAGGTGTTATCCTTTGTGTCTTGTACCACACTGTGGATGCTTCCTGACCTTTCACGATGGTTCCTTCAGCTGTGATAAAAACGATTTGGTGTTTTTCCGTGGTTTAATTCTGCCATGGTATTATTTCTGCGAACTAGTCACGAATTTCTGGCGTCTGCTTTCAGATTTTGGTGGAAACATCAACGTGGAGACCATCACGGCCTTCATCGACGGCGGCGGCAGCGTCCTCGTTGCCGCCAGCTCAGACATTGGTGAGTACAAATGCTCATCAGAGCAAATTAGTGCGCTTCAGCCGCTTCTTGTAACAGGCACCTGTGCTGCTTGTGCTCTGCGGCGAGCAGCTAGTTTGTTCATCCTTCTCTGGTTTCTGCAGCAAAACTGGTGAGAAGTCACAGTTTCTCACTGTGAACCTCAAGGTTTTTGCTGTAAGGAAACGGATGATAAATAGCCTTTACTGACGCTTTGGGTGGGAATTTAGATGAGGGAGGTTGTGATGCTCGGGGGGGGTTGGCTCGTCGAGTGCCTAACGCGTGACTCCGAGCTGAATTTACTTCTTGTTTTGAGCGCTGACACGGACGTCGCGTCCCGAACGCGCTGTGTAACGGAGAATCCGTTCTGTCCTGCCAGGCGACCCGCTGCGAGAGCTGGGCAGCGAGTGTGGCATTGAGTTTGACGAGGAGAAGACGGCTGTCATCGACCACCACAACTACGACACATCCGACCCCGGCCAGGTGAGCGGGGTTGTCGGCACGCCTGGGGTTTTGTCAGTGAGAACTTAGGCGTAAAGGTTTGGAGGTGAATCTTCTGTCCTTGTTTTCCCTTTTTTGTTCTGTTCACTCTCCGTTTTCTCAGCTTCTTCCCAAAAAAGTCACGAAGGGCTGTGCTTGACGGCATGATGTAACGCTGCCAAGCTCTGCACATTCGGGGTCTCTGCCCTCAGGTCCAGCTTTCTGCATTTCCCGGGTTTGACCTTTCAAATTCCGGTTTCAAATCGCCACCATGCCTCAGGCAGCCACGCCACGATTACCGGC